TAAGATTTTATTTATTTATTTGACAGAGAGAGAGACACAGCGAGAGAGGGAACACAAGCAGGGGGAGTGGGAGAGGGAGAAGCAGGCTTCCCGCCTAGCAGGGAGCCTGATGCGGAGCAGGGAGCCTGATGCGGGCTCGATCCCAGGACCCACGACCTGAACCGAAGGCAGACACTTAACGACTGAGCCCCCAGGCGCCCCTTGATTCTTTTTCATTTACATTTTCACTTGTTTTTCCATCTTTTCCTTTCATTTTCAAATGTACATAATTACCTTTCAATTTTGTCTGCTAAATATGTTAATTATTTATAGTCTCTATTCTGTTTTTACTCTCGCATAAGTCATATGATCTTGCCTTTTTGCATGTAGAATAACTTTTTATTCTATTACAAATTATGTATAAAGAATTTAAAGCCTCCAGAATAGGTTATTTTTCACTGGGAAGTCTTCTACGTTTATTGGATTATTTGGTTATCATCTGTGATCATTAATTTTATGTATCAACTTGACTAAAACAGGATGCTCAGTTGTTTGGTCAAACACTAGACATTTCTAGGAAAGTAACTTTTTGATGTAATTAACCTTTATAATCAACAAATTATAATTAAATCAAATTATTCTCCATGATATGGGCAGGCCTCATCCAATCAGCTGGAGGCCTTAAGAGCAAAAACTGAAGCTTTTGAAAGAAACTTAAAACTGTGACATAGAAACCTTACCCGAGTTTCTTGCCTGCTGGCTTGACTGAAGATTACATCAACTCAACTAAATTCTGAGACTTCTGTCCTTCACTACTGATGTTAGCTTTTCTAGCTTTCATTCCCATGAGCCAGTTCCTTATCATTCTCTCCCTGGGTAGAAAAGATAAGATAGAAAGAAAGATTTATAGATATAAATCTCCCATTGGTTCTGTTTTTTTGGAGAACCCTAATACATTAACACATTTTTTTTAAGATTATTTATTTATTTATTTGACAGAGAGAGACACAGCGAGAGAGGGAACACAAGCAGGGGGAGTGGGAGAGGGAGAAGCAGACTTCCCGCGGAGCAGGGAGCCCGATGCGGGGCTCGATCCCAGGACCCTGGAATCATGACCTGAGCCGAAGGCAGACGCTTAACGACTGAGCCACCCAGGCGCCCCTGTTCTGGGATTATTATTTAATATTTACTTCACTAAATCCCAAGGACTTTGGCAATTGCTTTAGTCTAAAGCCCTTTTATATTTCTTGAACTTTATTAAATAGCTTTTAATAGTTCATGGAACTTGGGATCATCTTGGATTGTTTCTAAATTTAGAATTTAATCTATTCATAAAATTGTATTCTAGAGCAGATGTTAATTATTTTTACAGTTAATTAGTGGACAGGAGGAAAGAAGAGCACACCTACTCCTTTGTGATCAGATATGCCCTTTACACTAAACAAATATATTATGTGAAAATGAATTTAAATATCAAACCTGAGCATTTGCAGAGTAACTGCATTTATTATAATCTGATACATTGTAGCATTACTTATGCGTGCATGAAAATATACCTGTTGGCTAACTATGTAGCTGAATTCACAATTTTCCTGTAATAACACTATAAATATGATTTTCTTGTCAATTATATATAAATATTTCTTTAAGAGGTCATTATTAAAGCCAAAAATCATTCAAGTCTTCCATGAAAACCAGTGCTTTTGCTCCTCCTTCTGGTACTGTGCAGAACTAAGCTGAATTTGGATACTTCAGGTACTTCTGTGGTGCAAGTCACAGCTACAGATGCCGATGACCCTTCCTATGGGAACAGCGCCAGAGTTATTTACAGCATACTTCAAGGGCAGCCATATTTCTCTGTGGAGCCTGAAACAGGTCAGGAATCATGAATCAGTGTTTGTTCATTTAAGTCTTTATGATCTTTATAAGTAGAAAAAAGGTGGGAAAATAAGAACATTAACAGTAATGCTTACAGAAGAGTAATGATGCCACACTTAAAGATTTAAGAATTCAAAGTTGAATGATTGAGTGAGCTGATCAAAATATACCTGATTTTTATGGTTTTTTTACCTATGAGTTTAGGCAACTAAATAGCACGTATGACCTTCTTTAGGTAACAGAAAAACCACGCAAATGGTAAAATATTTACATTGAATCACTTCTGCAATTTCTAGACAATAAAAATTAATAGCAAAGCATACTTTGTCTTTCAAAAATCACTAGATAGATAATTTGTGGTCTTAGTCAACTACTAGTTGAGATTTTAATGAGGATAACAGAAGTTTTTGTATTTTCTTCAAGGTATCATCAGGACTGCTTTACCAAACATGAACAGAGAAAACAGGGAGCAATATCAAGTGGTAATCCAGGCCAAAGATATGGGCGGCCAGATGGGAGGCTTATCGGGGACTACCACGGTGAACATCACACTGACAGATGTAAATGACAATCCACCTCGCTTCCCCCAGAGTAAGCTGCCTTTCATGGTCTTTCCATAGGGCAAAAGCTTTGGACTGAAAAGAGAAAAGTAAAAAGCAATTGTCAATCATCTAATTTTCAAAACATTGAAAATGTGCTACAAACGTGAAGAAAAGGTGCATATGCTGATGAATTCACTGTTACTAAAATATAAAAATTAAATATTTCAGACATATTTCATTTAGAAGCTGGGGATCTGTGATCACAAAACCTGCATCTATGACTAATCCAAGAACTGTTTCTTTTAGTTAGCAAAAGGAAATAATGTTTTATTGGAAAACAAAGCCCTGCTTCTACAATGAATGTGTTTATTTCCACTTAGAATTCAATAAGAAGGATCCTAACTTGAGGGTAAAATATTTCAGTAAAATATCTAATTTGTCATAATATGAAGACTTAGCCAGAAAGGGCGATAGAAGCCAGAACCTAACAAACTAATCAGACTTGCATTTTATATCACTGGGTCAGACTTGCAGTTACTATTTCTGTGTTTGGAATGGTAATCATACTATAAGATTTTTTTATACTAAAACATTTTGTATTCCTGACCTATTTAGTTATAAAACACTAAATCTATTTAGTGCTACTGTTTTCTACTTCGATCTATTTTTGTTATAAAATGAAACCTTCAAATTCTCAAAAGAGATCAAGAATAGGTTAGGAACCATTAGATTCTGACCGTATAATACATGTATTTATTCTCTCTTTTTATACAAACTTGGTAGAAATGAACGGGCACTCCCAAGAATCAGAAAATTTCCCGCTGACGTGAAAGATCCTATACTTCAAGATGAAATTTATGTTGTTAGAAAAGTGGCATAGGGGCCCCTGGGTGGCTCAGTCATTAAGCGTCTGCCTTCCACTCGGGTCATGATCCCAGGATCCTGGGATCGAGCCCCGCATCGGGCTCCCTGCTCAGCGAGAAGCCTGCTTCTCCCTCTCCCACTCCCCCTGCTTGTGTTCCCTCTCTCGCTGTGTCTCTCTCTGTCAAATAAATAAATAAAATCTTAAAAAAAAAAAAACTGAAAAAAAAAAGTGGCGTAATATGCAGGCTGTAGTAGGATCTGTGTCCTTAAGTTTAGAATTTGCTGTGTATTAACTTCTAAATTGATCCCCCAATTTTAGTTTGGTTTTAGCTTAAATACTTGTATGATATCATATTAAAATGTAGCTTTTTGTGATATTTATATTTTTATACTAAAGACTACAATGCAGAAGGATTTAGGGTCTAAGAATTCACTCTATTATTTTGACTGTTTAAAAGCATTTTGCTTTTAAACTATGCTATTTTTATCTAACTTTGATTATTAATAATAGTGATGATTTTTTTTTTTAAGATTTTATTTTATTTTTTTGACAGAGAGAGACACAGCGAGAGAGGGAACACAAGCAGGGGGAGTGGGAGAGGGAGAAGCAGGCTTCCTGTGGAGCAGGGAGCCCGATGTGGGGCTCAATCCCAGGACCCTGGGATCATGACCTGAGCCGAAGGCAGATGCTTAACCAACTGAGCCACTCAGGCGCCCCAATAATAGTGATGATTTGAATTGAATTGTTTAAAATCATGTGTATAGGAAAATTATAAAATTCACATAGAATTTTTTTTGAGCAGACTAATCTTTTGCTTATTATTTGTGATGATCCTTTTGTTGGATATTAAGTTATATGCCCATTAGGTCTGCTGTTGTGGTGTTTGGCCCAAAACACAGAGCAAAGAGTATTCGTTTATGCCCTTTTCAAATAATCAGATTGCAGCTCCAGATTACCTGTAGCATGGGCAGGGAAAAGAAAACCAATAACAATCCCTAATGGTTCTTTTAGAATAAATCTGAAGATATGCCTAGTTGCATTAAAATTCAAATTTCACATTTTGTATATATTTCTGACCACCTCTTAGCATGAATTTATTATCAGGAGAATGAACATGCAAATCTAGGAGAATAAACCATAACTAATTAATCACATTATCCACAATAAGCAAAAGTAGTCCTCAAAAAAGTATTTTGTCAATAATAAATGACCATTAAGGGGAGTATTATATTTTAAATGCTCAGGAACATATATACACATATGTCAAAAACACAGCTCATCTAAAAATGGTGCATCCAATTAAGCAAATTAGTAGATTCTAATTAAAGGCAAAAATTAGATATTTGAAAAATAATAATGTCCAATGAAAATTCATTTTATATTCTTTCATCTACTACAACACCTTTATTAATTCATTCGATAATTATTTCCTTTCCTTTTGGGAAGTCAGCATTTATGATTGGTATCTGATAGTCACCTTACACAAGCCCTAACGTAATTATAATAGTCATAGCCCTGGTAATAATAATAATATAATGATGATAATAAAAAGAAGCATCAACATAACCTATTTTCTGAATAACATTTTTTGGGGGACACTGTACTGAGTTATTTATTGACCTACTTTATTTAATCCCAATAACTCATTCAGTTCAGTATTATGATCTCCATTTTACAAATGGGGAAAACAAGGTTATAGATGCTAAGGCCAAACTACAAGTAATGAAAGAGGTGGGTTGAAATCCATGTCCAACCCCCTATGTACAATACAATACATTTAGTGGAATTTTAGAGTACCTTGTATCTTGCCTCATTATTTTTTAATTATAGATAGAAACATAATTTGTAGATTTTTATTTTCTCAATTATCTTTTCTGCTATGAATATTTGCAACCATATCTTACTATTGGGAACACTCAGTCATGGCAATTAGAATGTTACTTGATAGTCTAAGTCATCTAATATCCAGAAAACTAGTTTTTAATTTCTAATCATTTCATTAAATAACCAGTGTTTGAAGAGAGTTCCACACTTTATGAAGACCATATGCAGCATAACATTGAGAACTCAGAACTAACCTATTTAGACCCCTTGTTGTTATTATTATTATTATTATTATTATATCCACTGTATGGAAAAATGAAGGCGATTCAGAGTGGAAATGATAGACAACAAACAAATGCTGCTTAATAGAAATATAATGCAAACCAAAAAAGTATGTTCACATATGTAATTCTAAAATTTTTTATCAGCCATATAAAAAAGTTAAAAGAAGCAGAAGACATGTATTTTTACCATATATTTTCTTTAGCCCAATGTTGTCCTTTATACATACCAATATGAAACTTATTCAGATATTTTATATTCTTTTTTCCCCATAATTCTTTGAAATACCCACTTACATCAAGTATTTTCTAGTTGTTCTCAAGTGTCAATTCAGACTAACCACATTTCTTGTCAATAGCTACATGAGGTTTAGTAGCTTGGCTAGCGGCTGCCATATGGGACAGATCTGCAGCAGACTGTGGAGTCATTCTGCATGAGTCCCAATGCTGTCTTCTTCACTTAGTAGCTTTCTCATGTTGGTCAGTTAAACTGAACCCTCTATTTTTCAGTGCCATTCAGTAAACCTGGATAGCAGTGCATACTCCATGGAACAGTGTAAGACTGAACAATTTGACATCTGTGAAGCACTTGGCTCAATGGCTGGCACTAGCGTACTTATGGGTTCAGTAATGTTGATTTGTGCAAGTACTGCTCTATTACTATTATTAGTCAATGTTATAAAAGTAGCCTCAGAACTTAAATGTCCATGTAGATTGGCTGATCCAAATTCAACATTTCCCAGAATGCTATATCTGTGGAAGATAAACATCTCAGTCATTTAGAAGGACAGGGAGAGGTGGAAACTCAGATGTCCTGCTTCATTGTTTACCTTATTTTATTGTGTGGATCTACAGCAGTCATTCTCAGTCAGGGACAATTTTGCCACCCAGAGAACATTTGGTAATGTCTTGAGACATTTTTGCTTGTCTCAACTGGTGGCTACTCCTAGCATCTACTGGGTAGAAGATAGGAATGCTGGTTGACATCCTTACAACTCACATGAAAAAGAGTAACTTGGCCCAAAATGTCAACAGTGCTGTGGTTAGGAAACTTTGATATGTTATATGAGGATCTGTTCAAGTGAAATCATAAATTCATTTACCTAAAAATATTTATTGGGAAAACATGCTTGTACCAAACACTATTATAGAAATGAGATATATGAATTTTGTCAAAAAAAAAAAAAAAAGAAAGAAAGTCCTGGTTTTTGTCACTATAACCTTTCATTACAGTAGGGGAGACAGATCAGATGTAAGTAAAAATATTATATACATACGAGGTCTTGGCTCAGTCATGGATAAAAATATGAACATGTGTGTGCCACAGGGAAGAATAAGGGAAGGTCTTGTTCAAGAGGTAATATTTTATCCAAACATGGCAAGATGAAATAGACCCAGCCATAGAAAGAGATGGGAAAAGCCACCAACCAGAGGTAATGGCATGTGAGAGACAATAAGATTGGAAATTGAGTGATGGATGTCAAGAACTAAAGATGGTGTGGCTGGATCATACCAAACAACAGGAGGTTGGTGGGAGATTAGATCAAAGAGCTCTACACTCACAGGGACTTTGACAGTAGTAAATTTTTATTGGTATTAACAAACAGCAAACTTCGGTCAGGTATGCCTGACGTAAGTTATCATCATGGTCTTGTGCTGTTAGAGGTATATGGAGAGGTGAACATTAATATAACATGGGCACCCACCTTTGGTCTGATTCCAAAAGAGGCAATGGATTAGAAGATTAGGGGGCACCTGAAAACTGAGTTCCAAAAGTATTTTCTGCTATTTTGCTCTAGATACTAACTTGTATTATTCACTCTTAAAAAGATACCTCTGTTGAAATTGTCTCATAGTCCTGGGTTAGTTCAAGTGACATAATTTAATTTTTAAAACAATAAGTGAAGAACAAAAATCTATTGCTTACCTTCCACTGACAAGCACTGTGTTTGCACCTAAGCACATGAAGATTAATGTCTTGATTCCTGATTATGAGTGGCTTATTGTCTAGTAGGGGAGAGAATATTTCATTAGGAAATCGTGTGTGATAAAGGAAGTATGCACAGAATGCAATGGGCA